ACCTTAAGATTGTACTTAAGACGGTCTTAAATATAAGATCCGACTATAAATATCGGCCTAGCTTTATTCCTGATTTCTTATTCTTAATATCTGTTCCTTGTTCCTTATTATATTTTTGATTGTGCAGGGGCCTTAATAAGGGTCATGAGTTCGATCCCCATTATCCCATATCATTCCCCTTGCCCACCCATCAACCCAACCCAGAGCAAAACAAGATATTCTCTAAAAATAAAAAAAAAAAAGTAATACCTATTGGTCGTTTATGCCTCTCAATACTTAAAATAACTGCCATATTTTTCCAAACTTTTTAACGAATAACAAGCGATGGCTAAAACCTTCCGAAGATCACTCAGGAGGGTGACCTTGACAACATATGTCAAGGTCAAGGTCATCGGAGGGTGGCCCCTATACTGCATAATTACCGCATATTCTTTTAATTTAAAAATGACCTATTTGAAACATATTATAAACGCTTTTAAATTGACGATGTTTTTACATTAGAATATTCACGTATCTTAAATGTCAGTTATTGGGTACATAACATCTAGGACCAGTAATTATCACTTATCAAAGTGAAAATCATGTAACATTGCTACCTGGGGCAATATGCGTGATACATAATAAATGTATTAATTAATGTAAACTAATAGATAAATCTCTGATCTGATAATCTGCGAAGAAATCTTAAACTACGCAAAATGATACGCGTTAAATTGTAGGATTTGACGATAACCTGCATTTCATCTAAACGTTAAACATTAAAATTTCAAAACCTATATCCCGATTATATCTTTCGATTATAACTTATCCAACTTTGTTAACTACAACTATATCTCTTTTTTGTTTGGTATACAATTCGCATAAATCTTGAAATATTCATGATTAAAGCCTTGTGTCCACGATGCTAGAAATCAGTCCGAAATCAATTCAAGTTCTCGAATAGAAGTAGTTGTACTTCGATTACTCTAGATAGCGTTATAGTCGAAAAATATGGGATCGAGAGCTGAGTATGAACCCAGGCCCGTGGAATATATATCTATATATATAAGTCACGTCTGTCTGTCTGTCTGTCTGTCTGTATGTACGCGAACTACTCATTCGTTAGTGGACCGAATTTTTACCAAAAGTATATGAAACAGGGGTAGAATTTCCCGGGGATAAAAATGTTGTGGCCATTTTTTTGCTACCGATTTTCTGGAAACTGATTTTTCTAATTCTTCTAATTTTTCGGGAAATAATTGACTGAATTTAAAAGAATTATATATGAAAGAGGGGTAGAATTTTCCGGGGAATGCTATAAAGTGTGTAATTTTTAGTTACCGATCTTTTTGAAAGCCGGTTACAAAATTATTTCAATTTTTCGGAAATTAATTGACCAAATCTTAAAAAATTATATGAAGTAGAATTTCCCGGGGATTGCCATAAAGTGTATAATTTTTCGTTACCGATTTTTGGGAAAATTGGTATCAGAAAATTTTCCAATTTTTCGGAAATTAATTGACCGAATCTCAAACAATTGTATATGAAATAGAGGTAGAATTTTCTGGGGAGTGATATAAAGTGTATTATTTTTCGTTACCGATCTTTTTGGAAACCGGTTACAAAATTTTTCCAATTTCTCGGAAAATAATTGAATCTTAAAGAATTACATATGAAATAAAGGTAGAATTTCCCCGGGATTACTATAAAATGTATAATTTTTCGTTACCGATTTTTTTGGAAACCGGTTACAAATTTTTTGAAATTTTTCGGGAATTAATTGACCAAATCTTAAAAAATTATATATGAAATAGCAGTCGTGTCAAAATTTTTTTAATTGTTGGAGGATAAGTTTAATTTTTTATTAATGGATAATTTTTCATTAATGAATTGATTTTCTTGAAACCGGTTACGAAGTTTTTCCAATTTTTCTAAAAAGGTTTTCGATTTTTGTTTAAAAAAATGTAGGTACGTGATTGTTCTAATTTCCTCAAATTTTGAGATATTAGCTAAATTTTTTTAAAGATAATTTTTCGTTACTTTCTTAAAAACAATGCCCAAATTTTTCTAATTTTTCGGGGATGGCGAAGATGTGTATAATTTTTCATAATCAATTTTTTGGAAACCGGTTTCAAAATTTTCTAATTTTTTTAGGATGGCTACGATGAGTTTATAGAAAAATTGATAATAATAAAAAGGTTTCCGATTTCTGCTTCAATTTCCGTAAATTTTGAGATATCAAGCTAAATTTATTTTATGGATAATTTTTATAGATAATTTTTCGTTACCGATTTTTGTGAAAACCGATTACAAAATTTTTCAAATTTCTCGGGAGTTAATTGATCGAATTTCAAAGAATTGTATATGAAATAAAGGTAGAATTTCCTGGGGTTTGCTATAAAGTGTATAATTTTTTGTTACCGATTTTTTTGGATAATAGAGAAAAAAGAGGATTATGTATACATATGTATATGTATAATTCTCTTTTTTCTCTATTTATTAAAGATTTATGAAAATTAAGGCTCCTGAGTAGTCACCGCGGCCATATTGGATTCTTACTATCGAGGCGAGGAAAACATCCAATTTTGTTGTGCATGCCATTTTCAAATAAAAAGACATTTCAATAAAACATCACTATAGATCGTTTCAGACCACTTCCGAAATTGACCGAAAACTACCCTTTTCCCTCGACAATAAACAAACAGCCATAAAACAAAATCTCAACATACGGGAAAAACAGCCGTTTAACGACTATCGAAAGGAGGAGATGAAAACGTTCCTTCCGCATGCAAATCTTACTTCTCGGTCAATTTTACGACTCTCACGAATACGTTAAACGTTAGAGCACAAGCACAGAGCGAATAATAAAGAAATAGCATGCACAACAAAATAGGTTGTCAACATGTCACAAAGGACAGAATTCTCCATTGGAGAGAGTTCTCATTTCTGCCGCGACGGTACGTCGCCACCGTCAACGCAGAGTTCTCGGCTCATGGACCAGGAGCTTTAAATACATTTCCGTTGTCTAACGTCACATTGACCATCATTGACTAGGTATTTATAAGGTAATAATGTTGACCAAAAAGTGGGCAAATTAGAAACTTGCACATTGCTTCCTCATCATTACAGATCGCTACCATTGCTCCTATTTTATTTCGCTCACAAAACTGCTCTTATGAGGAAGCTTGTATTTTATTTGATGCATAATTATTAGTATTTATTAGTTTGGCTTCCTCATAGAGAAAGCTTTATGAGCAAAAAAAAAATAGGAGCAATGGTAGCGATCTATAATGATGAGGAAACAATGTGCAAGTTTCTAATTTGCACACTTTTTCCATTTTAAAGTTAACATTTTTATGAATTGAAAAAGGGTCAGCTTAGTAGCACAAGTGGGGTTTTACAATTGACGCAATGTCAAATCGATGTTGACTTTGGAAGTTCAGGCTACATGGTCCATATATGGACTTCGCATATGGACCTTTGATCGCGTATAAAGATGGATCAATCAAATCTTAAAATATTATATATAAAATAGAGGTAGAAAAAACTGAAAAATATAATAGAATTAGAAACGATTTGATATCTCAAAATTTGCGAAAGTTAGAGCTGTCACACATTTTTCAAAAAATTCAAAATTTTATAAAAAATGAACCCCTTTACCGATCATCGTCAAATTCAATACCAACTTTCCTTTAATGATACTCTAAATTTAAGAAAAAAATTAAGCCCGATATCTCAAAATTTGCGGAAGTTAGACACACACACGTGTCCGTAACATACACACACACGCACGCACGCACGCACGCACGCACGCACGCACACACACACACACACACACACACGTGCATTTTTTTTAACGCAATTTTTCGACGTTTTAGAACACTGAACATATTGGCATTAAAAACTCAAAAAACAATCTTTTCTTTGGTTTTTTCTACCCCTATTTCATATATAATCATTTTAAATTTGATTGATTAGATCCTTCTTTATACGCAATCAAAGGTTCATATACGAATTTTACGAAAACAAAGCTTCCTCTATGAGAAAGAAAAAAGGAATTGAATCAATATGAACCTAGTAACTAGTACAGAAAAATGGAACAAGATGCATTTTTTCTGTATAAGATTTCTATTCGAGATATTCATCCGTGTTGCTTGTGTCCGCGATTCGAATTTTAGCAACTTTTTCTCGGATCGAGGATTTGGACCAATTTCTAGCATCGTGAACACAAAGCTAAAAGAAAAAGTATGATCGTCTTTTATATAATATCTTTTCGTTCCTAATCTCGGTTAGATATTTCCAAAACATGGAGAATGACATCGTCCACGGTTTTCGTCGTCAAGAGAGATTTCACTGTTTCATCGTTCACTGTGTCGATGACAACAGTGAACAGAAGCTTGACGTTTTGTCGTAGCCTCTCGGTGAACATTACATTGGCCTCCGATGTTATCGGCTCGTGTCCGCATCTTCTGATCACGGCTTCAAGGATGTCTTGTATCGGAGCTTCCGGCCAACCAAACAACTGTCAATATTAAAATTAAATCAGTAACTAATGTAAAAGGCGATATAAAATATAGTTAAATTAAATTAAATACCTGTAATGTTTCCTCGTCAATAAGTATCCTCAAAAGATCTATAATGGCCTTCAACAACTCATCGGTGGAGAGTCTTCTAGATTCGCCAGTTTTTGTTTTGGCAGCAGCGGCCGACGCAATGTTGTATAACTGCGTTTGCAAATGCTTCTTCTCGACCTCATTCATTACATCCTCCAACAATTCTCGATGCTTCGCGCGAATGTGCCGCATCAGACAATCTTGCCGGATGAACACTCGATTGCATTCAACGCACGACTGAGGAGGTTCGCGTCTGTGAGTGTTGAGATGAGCCTGCAACGATGACTTCGCCGAAAAAGCTTTCGGACACTTATCGCATTTGAACGCTGAAACACAACGCAAAAAGGGATCCATACATAACACATATAACAAATAAAATGATGTAATTTATTTTAAAAATATTATATTCATTGCAATAATTTTCTTTAACATAAATGCGCATACGTTTGATGCCAGTGTGTAACAGCCTGTGTTTCACCAAGTCCTCCCTTCGTGTAAAACCCTTATCGCAGGCTTCACATGTGAATGGAATCGCTCCCTCGTGTACAAATTTCTTGTGAATATTCAAACGCGCCTTCCGATTAAACGCCTTGCCACATACATCGCAATAGAAACCATTCTCTCCGGTGTGATGGAACACATGTGCCCTTAATTGCGCTGCCTGTATAAACGATTTGCCACAATACTGACACACGTGTGGTTTCTCGCCCGTGTGCGTCCGTTGATGACGATTTAGCGTTTCGCGAGCGGCAAATTTCCTTTGACACTGAAAACAATTCTTAGTACTAGTACTCGCATAAGAAGTGTATTTAATAAATAGCTTTTGTAAAGCAAAAATGTAATGTAATTTGTGCATTTAAAAATATCTTTAAGATGATGCTGGAGTCGTATTTTTTTGCCGTCACGTAGCGTCGTATTAATTTGACAGAATTAAAAATCCTTTTCCAGAATTGCAGTACATACATTAATGATTCAGGGAAACTCCAATTTTATATAAAAAACGAGAAAACATTACGGAAGTACAGATTTCCTTATCTACTTTTATCCCAATATGGCGTCTCGAGTTGCGGCGAGCTGTCAGCTTGTCACAAGATGTATTTCATATAAGAGATATACCATTGGTACGAACGCGAAAACAACACCCAAAAAAAATATTCTACTGATAAGTGGAAAATTCCTCTTAGCAGTTCCTCTAAGCAAAAAATCTTACATGAAGAATATCCCTCTTTAAGTAATACGTATTACTTTATAAAAGAGTGGATGCGTAAGCTATAATCAAGAGTAAATTCCTCTACAGCAAATTCTACTATAGTAATCCGAATAGCCTCTTAAAATAAGAGAATATGCTAGATATTTGCGGCGCGCGCGTTAAAGTTAAAAGACGATCGTCTTATTAGCTACGCGATGCGTACGCCACCATACGAGACGTCCGTATAGAAATTTGTTAGGGATGGCTTTACAACTTATAAGGCCCCGATCATTAGTTATTAGAGATGCCATAAGAAAGATTTCCTTATTTTAACCTGATGAGGTCTCGATCATTATTTATTAGGGATTCCATAAGAAAGATTTCCTTATTTTTATCTAATAAGGCCCTTGTAAGGATTTGATAAGAATGTTTTAACTTTAGAAATATACTTTTTTCATAAATACATTTACGAACACAAAATTTCATAATGAGCCGGCACTGGTTTCTGACATTCACCCGACATTAAGAAATATTATATCATATATCCAATTCTAAATTTTATTACTCTTTTTAAACTGAATTTGTTTCTTAAGATGATTTTTGGAAAATTATATATTTGCGCTGATTATGACATATGTAGACTATATATAACACTTACATCAAATTAAGAAGTAGTCTACTATGTAAGGCAGTTGGCTCACGATGCAGAGGTCCCGAGTTCGAATCCCACCAAGGTAAGTGTGTTTTTCATTTTGAAATAATTTTTTTTTATTTATTTCGGGTAAATATCGGAAATCAGTGTCCTCTAGTATTAAGAGGACACAATCTTAAGTCTAGTGTCTCATGGTAAGAGGATATTCCTCTACCTTTTAAAATATCTTCTTGAGACCATATTTCAGAGGAAAATCCTCTAACATTAAGCGGGAGCCACTAAACGACAGAATATTTTTTTTTGGGTGAAGTTCCCCTGAATTGGACAACAATAAAAACATCGATAAACCCCCAAAATCAAGATTTGGAAGCGTAATATAAAAGTATGATGTCGGTGTGTATCGTGCGTATGTATGCGTGCAATGTTGGGTGCTATCCTTGTCTATTAGCCCAGTCGATAGAGACATTTAAATGGAATTAATTCCGGGAAGCGATTTTTTTTTAACTGTTTTGGAGGGTCATGGGTAGTCTAAAACCGGATTTTCGGAATTCTAACC